GCAACTCGGGCAACTCGGGAAGCCGGTAGAGTAACAAGAGTCACCACGAACAACCGTACGGAAACATTCAAACTTCAGAAGTCATACAGACATCGTAGAAGCAGTGAATTTAACTGTGGAGAAACGATGATATCTCAGGGCGAGCTGCTGTTGTTGTTGATGTTGCTGTTGCTGTTGCCGTTGCTTATGTTGTCGTTGTTGTTGCTGTTGCTTGTAGTAGTGTTAGTGTTGTTGTTGTTGTTGTTGTTGTCGTTGTTGCTGTTGCCTTTGCTGTTGCTGTTGCTGTTGCTGTTGCTGTCGCTGGTGCTGTTGCTGTTGCTGTTGCTGTCGCTGGTGCTGTTGCTGTTGTTGTTGTTGTTGTTGTTGTTCTTGGTGGCCTTGTTGGTCGTGTTGCTATTATTGTTGTTGATGTTGTTGTTGTTGCTGTTGGTGTGGGTGTTGTTGTTGTTGCTAGGACGATGGCTGTGACTGTTCTTACCTCAACATTGACAGCCACGTCGTGTTACTGTTTAGCAGGCGAGATCTGCAAGTTTGTGTCTGGTCAGCACGGAAACTGATTCGAAGATCTAGGACCATACAACATCAAACGTGCACCATCGAAACCCGAAAGCCCAAAACACGAACCCTCAAGCCCTGAAGCCCTAAACCTTGACGGCGCAGCGCAGACCCTAAAACATTCGAATCTATAGCTGGCTCAACACCCCTAGTTCTCATAGTCACACGTGCCCAAAGCACTGTAGAGGCCGTTGAGGACCCAACAATAATCAAACTCTTGAGAAGCGCTTCTCATAGTCCGCAAAAAGGTCGGAAATTCATCTGCTGGGCAGCTCAATGTTCCTGCCCTGCACCCCTGTAAGCTAACATCAAAGCAAGCTCGTTTTCGATCCTTTCAATGCTGTCGGTGCCTGAGCTTCCTCTTCAACTCCGATTTCTCGGCTTTCTTCTTCGTCTGCTCCTCCTTCACTCGGAGGAGCTCCTGGCAAAGAGGGCGGCTCAAAGGCCATGAAGTCGAGGCTTCGCCTGTTTGAGGTTTGGGAGAAATAGATTCGAGCTTGAGATTGGGATGTGGGGTTTGGGGCATGGGGTGGGGGGACCGGGGCGGAGTTTTGTGAGTTAGGAGTTCGACGCTTAGGGAGCTTGTGCTTGGGAGCAGTAGCAGCACCATCCAGTCGTCATCACCTCCAGGATCACCATCGTTCTCACCACTGGAGTCCGCACTCTGATCACTGTCCCAACCCTTGCCGCATCATCATCACTATCATCATGGTCATCAGCAGGGTCATGATGATGATGGTCCTCATCACCAAACCATCGTCAACAACATCAAGTCAACGCCATCACCACTGCGAACGGCGGGGTCGAGTGACTTTCACCATGACTGAATAACTTGAACCAGCACCCCTACCAACATCATGAAGATCACCAGCAGCACCGGCAGCTGTATCAGCACCACCCCCGATATGCCGTAAACTCTACGCCCCGAGACCAGTACCCAAAACTCAAAAAACTTTCATCTCACGCTGGTATGGAGCGTACCTCACACTCCATCGCAACCTCAATCCGGTAAAGCGTCGGTCTTGTCGTAGAACAGTACAGTAAGCAAATTGGGGCCTTCTTGCAACACACTGTTTTAAACCCTCGTCCCATGCGATGTGGCCTTGTACCGCTTGCTCTCTACGTGCCGTTCTACCTGATCTCAGTGGGGTTTTGAAGGGTTTCAAAGGGTTCTTGTTCAGACTGACAAAGCTTGGGGAGTTACCTTGTGCAGCGAGAGAATATTCTCCATCGTGGCCGCCCCTATTGGCGACTTGATCCTCATACGCTAACGCAAGTGCCTGAAAGAACCCTCTCCCCGAGTTATATTGCAGCCGCTCCCTATAGCAATGCTTAGTATTTTGGGGCTTGTGCGTTTGGGGCGGGGGGGGGCGGGGTTCTGCCCCTCACCCCGTGTCACTAGAAGCCGGCAGTGAGCCTGTGCGACAGTTCTAGTCAACGTGGACTCGAAGTCCCCATCACAAAGGCGACAAACACCCAAACCCCTGAACCCCTCTACTAAAGCACTTACTTAATCCCCTAAACCCCGGATAACCATAACCCCCTGAAGCCTCCAAGAAGGCACCTGAAATGACAAAGAAATGCATACTTCCTGTCGACTTCTCCATCACAAGGCCAGCCTTCTTGGGCTGCATGGGCAAAGTTGTTCCGGTCACCTCTGGGAGAGGCGGCAAAGGGGTGCGCGGCTTAGGGGTCTGAGGGCTTCAAGGCTTTACAGGTGTCGGTGTAGATGTGGGGCTTCAGGGTTTAGAAGTTAGGATTTGGGGGGTTGGGTTTGACGATTCCGGGCTCATGAGTCCGCATGCAAGTGCAGCAATGCCGTACTTCTGACTATGATGCTCGTAAATTTAGGTGTGGAATGAATATCCATGCGCAACCGTACCGTGTAGGTATATGTGGGTTTGTTAGCCACATTAGCCACAACGACACTGTCTTGTTTCTGGCTGCACTTGGAGACGGTGGCTACTCGTCGTGATCCTTCAAGCATGGAAGAATTAGCAGATCTGCTGATCCCGGAGAGGCCAAGCAGCGCACCGTGCAGAACAGAAACTTTTTCTGCTTCTCGTGCCTGAAGCATTTCGAAGTTGGATGGGTTCAGCATGGCGGTGTGAAGTTCGCGGCATGCAGAGCGAGCATTAGACTGGCTGCCGACAGGTGGGTGCTGCACACCCTGAACTCTATCACTCCAACCCTAGCCCTGGCACGGCCCAAACACAAAACCCTAGGCCCTCGTCTGGAACTCTGTCTGAAGCTAAGATGGAAAAAAAACTGAGGCCCGCTCGGAATGATGTACGGCTCAAACTTGCTGAAGTCGTACCCATACCACTCACGGGCCTCCCGGCAGTAACAACTCTTCTTGGGGATTCCTAGAAATTCGGGTCGCGGGTCGCATGTTACTGGTCTCTTAGTGTTCCAGAGCTCTAAAGGCAACCCCCAAGGTAGCCCCGTCTTGGAAGACTAATGCCCATACTAACGTTTTGGCTGAGATACTCTCGCCTTTCCACGACCACGGTTGTGCTCCCAACCTTCAATATGCGGCCCGGTGTCGTCCTGATTTCACTCCATCTTACGAAGAAGACCAGCTGAGGAGGGTCAAAGGAATATGGCAATGCATTCGGCCTGAAGCTGTATAAGATGAATATGCAAAACTTAATCGACCACCCCGCCCAGGTGTCAGCGCTATCATCGTCACTATCGCATCAGCAGCTGCAGCAGCAGCAGCAGCAGCAGCAGTAGCACCAGCTACAGTTGCCCTCCTTGTAAAACCCCATTGGGCATTCAAGTGGGCCTCAGGGAGCTGTCAGGCCAAAGCCATACGAAGCCAGAGGTTGAGAGGTCCTTCTAGATGCTCCAACCACTTGTTTCACACAGACGGAACCCATTCTGATCAAAAGTAGAGGCACCAAGAGGCTCGTATCCTCATGTAGTGGTTACGTGGTATAGTGGGCAACTCCGTGTGCCTACTATAAGGGTTCCCAGACAGGGGTTTCTAAGGGTATTGGTGGTACTACCTACTAGGGTCGTCCAGCATGCCTTCCGATACTTCGCGCCGCTCAAGTAGGTCTTGACAACCTCAGCATGGTGCGACAGGAAACCTAGAAAACTCCCTTCTGCCGTTTATGCTTCTCAGCAGCCTCAAGTCGAGGAGGCATCTCATGACCAGTTGACTTGACGACAACCTGGTCATCCACAGACAAGCCAAGCCGACCGGACACGCCAACAGCAACCCTTTGCAAAGCGGTCCTTCCCGCTGCCGTCCTCTTTGAACTCGAGGTCCTACAAAACATGCGCCCTCAAGCATATCTTTTTGTTTGGCCTTACTGTGTTGGCAACGACCGTGTCGTGCCTCGTTCTCAGTGACCAAGGCAGCCAAAGCTTCGCCATCATCTGCCTAGCGAAGTCAGGTCCTAGGGCTGAGAATTGTCCACACGTCTGCTCCAGTCCTCGCCGGCCATCGGCAAAGCTCGTTGCTGTCTGTGCTTTGGTGTGTTAAGCTATCTGAGGTGCATGACCCTATGCCTTCGACCGGCAGCTTACGCTTCGAAGAATTCTTCGCAACCAACTCTGGGGTGTTGCCCTGGAGTTCTTCAAAAACCTGCTTGACGACTTCCCACAACCTTTAGCTGGGCTGGCGCAGTGATGAACCAGGCTTCAACGGCGACATGGATTGGCAGCAACATGCCAACATGCCTTCGTCTGAGCTGCATGCCTGTTACATCGGGCCTCAACCCTGAACTTCCTGAACCCGAGGCCCTACTTTCTGAACCCGACACTCTACACCCTAAGTCCACGCAGCACACCCCTACCAGCCGTTTTCTCAAGTTCGTCGCGTCATATGCCTCGGTCGCCCGGAGAGCTTGGGCAGCAGCCCGCCGGATGGCTGTGAGACCTTGCTATCCTCAAGAAGGGCTCCCCGGGGTTTGGGCTTCAGTCTTTAGGCTCTGGGATTTAGTCTTTAGGGTTGGGTGATGCTTGAAACTCGGGCCTGCGGTTCTATCCGTGCCAAAACACCTGCAGCCTGTGTACACAACAGGACTATATTATATATTGTGAATTGTGAGAACTACGCGTCTGACGTTCCATCTGCACCCTGAGTGTTGCCCTTCTTCGACGGAAAGGTGGCTAAACGGGCAGCTTCGCTGCTCTGAAACGTTCACTGCAAGGGCCTTTCAGGCCGAAGCAGGAGTAATTTCGCTGCAGCCGGACGGGACTTGCTGGAATGCATTGAGACTGAGAGGCATAGTCACGGACAAGTCCAGAACAGGCCGCAGACCGGGCCGACAACGTCGAAACTGATCTTTCTACGAGGACTTCGCCAGACAAGCACTTGAAGGAAAGCATTCAAAGACGCAGTTCCGGTGACGGTCCAGTGCAGTAGCAACTAAAACCCTGTGGCTCCTGACCTACTCAGGTCTGGTAGACAAAGGGTTCTATTCAACGCGCGTTCACGCGGCAGTACTCAAGCGCTTTGAGTTTGCTTGCAGAGCGGATGTCCTGCAGCAGCAGCAGTTCAGCCAAGAGCTGGGGACGATGGACGCAGAAAGCAACACTGCACATGTAGCGGCGACAAGAGAAGCAAAGCCTTAGCATGTCAGGATTGCCAATCCGACCCGTCGTGGAGCGTACAGTCGCACCAACATGTAGTTACATGCCTACATACTTACATACATACCTGATATGTCTAAATGCACATCCAACTGGACTCTTGGCAAGAACAAACCCCAAGGCCGCGGAAGGTCAGCCAAGACGAATCCGAGGAGCTGTGTTTGGCGGCCAAACCAATGCGATTGCCTTGGCTGAACCACGCTCCAGCAGGGAGGATGAACGACGACGACAGCGACGACGACCACGGCCACAGCCACAACATAAACGGCAACAGCTGAAGGATCAACATCACGATCACAATGAGCGTAGATGCTATCACCGCCACCATTGTCATCACTGGTATGACTGGCATTCCCACACACTGTCAGCAACACAATGGTCACCACCACGAGCACGACGAAGCCCAGAATCGAGAAAAGTTAGGAGTTCTTGCGAGTCCTTGAGTGGAGAAGTCCTCAACTGTAGGAATCCGTTTGGCACCGGTCCCGTCGCCCTCCCCACGAAGGCCCTCAACCTCGCATGGCCCGTTTGCAGCTGCGGATACCGGCTGGCGTGGGCTGCCTGGTGCAGGTCCACACCCAACTGGGAGCCGACGAAGCTGATATCACGGTGGAGTGCCCTGACAACGCTTGGGCCGAGGGCTTTCGGGCCCAGAGGCTCCTATTCTAGTCTTCGCCATCATGTGATGCTGTACTCTTTTAGGAGTGCATGCTGTTTTCGACTGTCTTTGTGGGCCGGGGATGAAGGAGGAGGTCTGGGACTGTAGCTTCGGGCTGTGGATCGTTCAGCGTGGCAAGTCGTTTTTCGGCTGGGCACTCACAGACTCAAGAAGCATCGAACAAAAGCCGCGTTCCTACCGAGATACAAGCTAGAGTGTGATGCCGGCTTTGCGAACACGCACAGACACGCAGATGTCACAGTCGCAATATTGCCAACCAACTCGCCTGCACTGGTGCATGATCGCATGGACGTCGATGCTCCGTGCTTGCCCCTTCAGCTTCGCGCAGCCGTCAAGGAATTCCTGTATGCTCACCTGCAAGAGAAGCGAAAATGTTTCCGAGCTACGGGAGCATGCCATGGCCAAGGATCTGCATGAAGGCCATGCAGACTTGTCAGTGCCGCCGTAAGTACTGTCGCGGGGCTATACACAGAAGCAGCTTTAAGCCCGCACGCAATCGCACGACTTTGCACACGCCAGGGATGCACCTCAGACACAGGAGCACAAGTGTCAAAAAGACCATACTTCACCGGCTCTGGAGCCGTGATCCCCGCCGGCAGAGTGGAGATCGTCCTTGGAAGATCCATGGGCCTGATCCCTGCACCGGAGCCCTTTCTCCCAAAATCCCAGCCCTGAACCCGAGTTTCTAGACACTCACCCGAAACCAAAAACCTCATAAACCCCCCCCCTCGTTTTGTGCCTCGCCGGACTCATCGTCGTCGAGCAGGTGGAAGATTTGGTGCGCATTGACTTCGTCAAAGCCCAGCACCTTTAGAATTCTGCACAGGCTTTGGAGTTTAGGCGGCGTTTTCTCCTTGACGGGCGGACATTGGGGAGGGTAGGATTTAGAAACTAGGGCTTACATAGGGCTTCCATTTGGCTTTCTATTGCTCTCCATGCCTCCCTTCTGCTTCTCGCCGGGAGTCAGAAGACCATAAGTTTGGGGTTTGGATTTGGAGGTGGGCTCAGGTCGTAGAGCTTTGAGACTTTTAAGCTTTCGGGTTTCGGTTTAGGGTTTAGGTCTAGGTAAAGGCCCGGGAATTGGATGTTAGGATGTTAGGAAATATTGGTCTGGATTTCAACCGGAAGCAGTTGTAGCAGTGGTGTCTGGCGTCTGGTCTTGGTGATATCGATACTACGTAATCACTATACCAACTTGAGCAGTGACGGGTACATGGTTAGGGAAGTCTCGCGACTGAAGACATGCTGCACCGTACCGTGCGACCAACAACATACCACAATACATCAACGATGCTCCTGCTTCACTGCCAGTATTCAGCTAGGACCTAGGAGCTCAAGTGTCGCGTCTTCGAGAAACTACATTGATTTCGGACCTCAGCTTCACCGTAGAGGACTTGTAGTCGATCTCCTTCCTTGACGTCGGGGCAGAAATATGAGCCAAACGATCCCTGAAGCTGCAACCTCCTAAACGCTGGAAACCACAAGCCCTGAGATCCCCAAGCCCAGACGCAAAGGCCTCAAACTCCTCACCCCCGAAGCCCAGAGAGCGCTCGACCAAGCTTGCAAATCATCAGTGGCGCCAACAATCATCTCAAAAGGAAGGCCGGCCCAGCAACTTTGGCAGATGCGGTGTATTTCTAGTGCAGGTCTTACGCATGATCTCCGAGGGACTGCGAAGTAGGCGGCGAGTGTCTGGTCCTGTCCCGATTGCTTTCATGGGAATGCGCGGTTGAATTCTTAGTTTCAGAATGAAACTACGAATCAGTATCAGCTGCAGCAGACGCAGAACCATCAACCGAGTCATCAACAACAGGAACGACGACAATGACGACAACACCAGCAGCTCCAGCACTAGAGGAGCAGCAGAAACAGCATCAACAAACGCAACACATGCAACAACAGCAGCAGCGACAACAAGACCAACGGTAGCAAGACCACTCATCACTAACGGTCCACTGTCAGTCAAGTAGTACTTTCAACACGGTTCCGCATTAGAACCAAGATCACAGTACTTCGCAACCACGGCTGCTCTTCCAGTTGCTGAAGGTACCATTACGACAACGACGACGACGACGACGACTACGACGACGACGACGGGGACGACGACTGCTCCTGCTACCGCTACTGCTTACTGCTTACTGCTCTACTACTACTACTACTACTCCTCCTCCTCCTTCTGCTGCTGCTGCTGCCTACCACTACTACTTCCTCTTCTTCTACTGCTACTACTGCTACTACTCCTACTGCCACTACTGCTACTACTACGACTACTGCAACTACTACTACTACTACTACTACTACTACTACTGCTGCTGCTTCTTCTGCTGCTGCTGCTGCAGCTAGTAGAGCTCCTGCAGCATGATCTTGATCTCATCTAAATGGATTGCGCCGTTGCCGTCCGTGTCCAAAGCCTCGAAGAAGTCCTTGAGGGACTTCAGGAAGGAGTCCTGCACGGATCTGGGAATCAGAACCATGGAAACAACTAAAATGCGTAATTGCTTGAAACACCCACAATAGGAATTGCAAACTGATGGCAAGAAAACCAGCAATCGCGGCACCGGTAGTGGCAGCCATAGGGCCACCAACTAGTGGATGGAGCAAACCCTAAACTTGAACCACACACTCCTTTCTATAAACCCTGCGGCCCTACGACTCGACTTCTCCCAGACTTGAAGCCCTAACTAAAACCTACCACTCCATGTGTGTCCCAAGACTTGAAGCCCAAACCGAACCGAATTTGTTTGACACTTGGCGTCCTTCAGCTCGAGCTCGCGCTCGATCTGAATGTCGCGCTGGGAGTTCGTCGTCTGGATGGCCGAGTCCACGAAGACTCCTTCGCCAGCGCAGTCGGTGTGAAAGACGCTTTGGGGTCGATGGGGTCGTGTATGTGTGTATATATATATATATACATACTAAAATGGGTCGTATGTATGTATGTATGTATATATATATATAAGCAGATCATGTTGTCTTCCTTGATGTATTGGTTTGTTCATGTGGGTAGTTCTCTAAGTTAGGGTCCCTTTTTGGATCCCCAACATAGTACGGCACCCTTGTGAGAGGGGGAGCCAGAAAGGGACCCGAATTTAGAGAACTACCCATGTGCTTCTTTGTTTTGTTACACATATCAGGGGCCTACCCATAGGCCCCATAGTAGTTCCTTTTTGGGATTACCTTCTAGGATTCTATATATGAACCCCCAAAAGGAACGACTTTAGGGCCTAGGGGCCCAGGGTCTGCAGAGGATCTCGCATGTCTCGGGGGCTTAGGCCCGTCTGCAGAAGCCTGGGGATGGTCCGCAGTAGGCCATCCCCAAACCCTAAAGCCCAAACCCCTACACTATAATATAGTATACAATAGTATACAATAATATAATATAATATAATATAATCCAAAATCCCAAACCCTAAATCCTAAACCCTACCCATAGGCCCTAAAGTAGTTCCTTTTTGGGGTTCATATATAGAATCCTAGAAGGTAATCCCAAAAAGGAACTACTATGGGGCCTATGGGTAAACTGGTAAACCCTAAACCCTAGGGGCAACAACAGCTTGACTGTAGGGCGGAAATAGAGGTGTCGGGGTTCGATGACAGATCCGAGTCGATCCGTGAGACCTTGACCCTGGCATTTGGCCCGTCCTGTGATCACGTTCAGCACAGAGAAGATGGTAAACATGATGTAAAACAGGAGCATGCACGCTGACAGGATGTCGATTCTGAAGAGGAGGTCGCCTGGAAAGTGAGGTCTTTCGGACCGAGATTTGAGGTTGTTTGGCACAAGTTCACGTGCGCGGGCCCCGCGCGCGCGCGCGGGTGTGTCAAAGCTGACTCAGACCTGCCATCTTTACTTTACCATTCCTATCAGTAGTCGAAAAGTTTAGGGTTTAGGGTCATGAATACTATCAGTAGTTTTCATAGTATTACTAGTTTTGCTGGTATTACGCGCTCTCTCCCTGGGCCCCGGGCAGACGATGTGCCAGCTGACCCCCCCAAGGATCGACAGCATCAATGTATAAACCTGGCTTGGAGTTTAGGGGCTTTAGGGTTTAGGGGCTTAAGGGTTGGAGGCTTAGGGCAAACTTGGGTTTAGAAGCCAGCTCGAAGATGAGCTGATCCGTAGATGAGCTGATCCGTAGGGCAGCCAGGGTTTCGGATTTTACGTCTAGGCCTTCGGCCTTTGTGGCGTTAGGAAGGGTTCAGAGGAGCTCGGCAAAGCAGGGTTACGTGTCTCTTTCATGGAGCCTGGCTGTTTTCGCATGGGCCGTGCCGAATCTCAGAACGAACCGCATCGATCTACATTGTCTGGCGGTCTTGCGCCATCTGCAAGGGGTATTGCGGTGGCGAACAGTAGTGAAAAGAATTAAATCCTTCCTCTGCGGTCTGCAGTCGCCGGATGCCCGGCTGGATTCATGAAGGCGTTCTGGAGCTCCGAACAACTAGTGACATTGTCTGTTTTCTACTCAGATGAATCCCCAAACCCCATTCTGCTCAATCAGGCCCCTCTGTTACCCATCCATCACTCTAATATAATATAGAAGCCTATAGTACCCGTAAAAGGAACCTTACGGAACCCGAAGTACCCCTAAAAGGAACCATAGAACCCTGTAGTACCCCTAAAAAAAACCTATTATAGAATCGAATTCAGAAGCTGGCTGTCTGCCATGGCACCGTAGAGCCCAGCGAGCCAAACCAGGTCTCTACATCCTCGTAGAGCATGCGATCCACCATGCCAGCGGATTCCTGTTGGGTTTAGGGTTGTTTAAAGGGCATACGGACCTTTGGGTTTAAGGTGTAGGGTGCAGGGTCTAGGTTGTGGCAGAGGTCTTGAGGTTCATGGAGGGCTCGGCCACAGGCTGGCAAACGATATCAGTCAGACAGCTCATTAACAACAAACTCTCCGTGCTGCTGGACGAGTCCTGTTGGAGAAGCCAATCTGCGGTGTTCATGGAAAGGCTCACGGCAAACACGTAGACAATGATACCTGTGCTGAGCGATCCGTGAACAAGCGAAGCCCCTGCGTCCGAGTCCGGGCCGAGGGGCCGAGGAGGATCAATGCCCCGAAAAGCGACTTTAAGGAATCGATGATCCTCGGCTCAGGGAGTTTTAGGGCTTAGGGGTAATGGTCCTGGTTTTAGGATGGGGTATGGGAAGGTCCTTGAGGTGCTGGAGGGCACAAAAACGTTCCACGGGTCAAAAGGCACCTCAGGGTTGTCTTGGGCCTTGCAAGGCATGGCAGCCTTCGTAGAGCTTTGCTTTGCTTGCAGGTTGGGAATGCCAAGAAGCCAGGAACTTGAAGTGGATACACATGCACATCTCTTGCAGGATCCCTTCACAAGAGCAATTAAGAGCTACCTGGCCTATTGTCCCTTGACCCCGGGATCAAGTCCGCAAATTTGACGAGGAGGTGCATCGTCCCATACATCTGCGGCATACACGGAAGAAAACTAACCAAGCACTCAGATCTGCAAATCAAACCCGATCACAAAAACTTAGGACAGGGAAACATGGCGGTGTCTCAGGAAGCGGCTGCGGATGCTGTGGTAACTGAAAGCTATGTTGGACCCCCCTCATTGATCCCCAGCACTCCAGCGCAAAACCTTCTTGGTATTATGCGTGCGCACACATGTTCAGTGCCAGAATCATCATCGCCCAGTTCCCGAGCTCTCTGAAGAATCGGAAGACTCGGAAGACGCGCATGATCCTGCAGGCAGATCGCTCTGGCTCTTGCTGATATGGTGCAGGCGACGGGTTTGTCTCGGAGTCATCAACGTCTGGCACCTGCTTTGCCAGTGCATCCCTGATGCCCTCAACTGGAATGCTCAACCTTTCAGTCTCCCTGCATGAATTTCGTTGGTTAAGGACCATGCTGATTCCCACTGTCCGAAAGAGCTTCAACATCTTCATGCTTGCGGCGAGGGCCGGGGAGATTTCCGCGGCGGTGTAGGTCAATATGACCTGCCAGTTCAGCGACAACGTCTTCCGGAGATACATGGAACACGCACGGGCGAAGCTGTTTCGTGCCCATCACGAGAAGTTCAAAACTAACGACCTGCTCCAATAGTCTGGCAATATTTTGGCTGAAGGCTTCCGGTTCAGCCTAGACCCTAAATCCTATATACCGTAGACTCAGACTCAGACCATTCAACCTGAAAACCACGCCATCAACTCCAAAAACTAAACCCCCGGAGGCCAAAAGGCCTCCGAAAGGTCGTTCGTTCAAGGTTCTTCCTTGTTGGGCCTGTAAAAACTTGTAGTTGTAGTCTTAGCTTTAGGTCTTTGGGGTTCAATGATCCCACAGTGCGTGAAGGTTCAAGGTGTCAGGCTGCAGCGTGACAGACAAGCTGTGGCAAATCGATTCTCAGATGCCTTTCCCCCGATTCCTAGGGTTTAGGGTTTAGAAACCTCAACGTTCCCGCTAAGGCTGCGGCATCCAGGACCGACGACACCACCAGGAATGAATCGAACAAGTTCCAGCCTTCGACTGAGAGTGTAAAGGTGAGCGGAGGTGCTTTCCGGATGTCATGAGATCAGGGATCCTATTATTGTATCCGACTGGAATGGTGTTTTGACAGGTGTGGCACATTTCAGGGCAGACCCGTATCACGTTGGCCAACCTGCAACAAAGGCGAAGCAAATGCAGCTGCATCGCACAAGATCAAAGATCACTCAAATGCTGCTAAAACATCATAGTCAGTACACAACCAGCTTTATATCCACCATGTTCTGGATTCTAGAAGCTTTGCTCCGATGTGCAGCTGAACGAGGGTCGTTCCGGGAATGGCTTTTTGGTTCTTGGCGATGACTGTAGCATGGAGTGCCCGACGTTACAGTCCGTCGGCAGGGTGACACCTTCAAACGTCACTTCAAATCATAGATTTCTGCATGTCCAACCATTGCGTCTTCTGGTGGCTGCATGGGCCGGCTCCACACGAACAGG